AATCTTTACGGGAGTAGAAAGCCTCATCTTTCTCCCGCGGAGCGGCTGGTAGTTTCGAACCGCTGACCTTAAGGTTCGCAGCCCGATTCGTAATGGTGGTGGCAATATATATAGATATATAATTGTCTTAATCTGCAGTGCAGGTGTGGTGCTGTAAAATAAGCACTCAACAGCAAGGTCAGTTTGAACTGTAAGGTCAGCGGTTCAAACTCACCAGCTGCTCCTCGTAAACCCTATACAGGATTGGCTACAAGTCGGAACTGACTCCACGGCAATCAACAACAAAAACTCAGGAATGCATTTGAACTTCCTGTCTTCAATCCCAATTGTAAAATTAAAAGCAAGTAATGTAAACTCTGGAGTCCTGGTGTGGCGCTGTAGGATAAACACTGGACTGCTAACCACAAGGTGGGCAGTTCAAACCCACCAACCACTTCTTGGAAACCCTATACAGGGTCAATATGAGTCAAAACCCACTTGACAGCACTTAACAATGTAAACTCCATATATTTAACAAATTAAGATAAATACAAATTTTACTATGAAGACAGTTGTTAAGTGCCGTCGAGTCGGTTCCGACCCATAGCGACCTTGTACAGGGTTTCCGAGGCTGTAATTTACGGGAGCAGAACGCCTCATCTTTCTCCCGCGGAGCGGCTGGTAGTTTCGAACTGCTGGCCTTAAGGTTCACAGCCCGATTCGTAACCACTACGCTACCAGAGCTTCTTATGAATAAAGTAGTGAACATTTATTTCAAATAATGAACTTTCATTTACATTCAAACTAAAAACAATGGTAAGAAAAGTTCAATGTTCCCATGGACTTTTTTATCTACCCCCATAAATACCTTCTTGTAGACAGCACATATTGATTGTACCTTATCACTACTTATTAGCTTACCATAAACTGAAAATAAACTTATAATGGATAGATGGACCAATTCCCACTAATCCACAATAAATTAAAATTTAGACACTAAGATCTAAAACTACTCATTTGGAACATTATTCTCCAAAGCAAAAAGCTGCCAGCTTTATTTTCCAACCCGACATTTTAGGCATTGGCTTAGCTTAACAGAAAAACAAAACAAAGATGTGAAATCACCTTGCGATAATAAAATAAATAATCTTTTGCTTCCTGTCCTATTTTACTGAGCTACCAGGGAAGGCTGTGCGACTAAGGCACGCTGGGTTGGAGAAGACCGTGGGAATGCGTCCCTGGCCTGGCTTCCCTCCTCCATTGTCTCCTCACGGCATCTTAAGCAAGGTGTGTGTGGCTAAGCTGCTTTAGACAAGCCCGAGTGTGATTGCGTAATAGGAACAAGGCTGCCTGGACACTTGCTTTACAAACAGTAGTAGTGAAAGGGATGGGTTCAAGTTTCTCATTGTGTGGGATGCCCCTGTGATATAGTTCTCTGGTTTGAGTGACAAGCTGATAATAAACAGCAAGTGTTGTCGTCCTGTGGCCCACAGCCTGGTTGTTGTTTTTGTCCGTCTCTGGAGAAAAGGAGCCAATGCGTTTGAGCCACATTAAGCTCCGGCTTTCACTTTGGACCCTAGGACTGGGCTGGGATAAGCTGAGAGGAAGGGATATTTCAGATAGGCAAATGTTCTCAGTGTTACACAATGGAGATTTCCCACATAGGAAGCCTGAGTGATTAATACAGCAGGAATTTGTCTCAACAACCTCCCCCCAAAAAACAACCAGAATACAAGATGCTGATAAGAATTCTTTTATGTTATTCCAATAAAAAATACATTCATACAGAAATATAACAATCTTGCAAAAAACAATTTCAAATAAAATCTTGTAAAACAAAATTTTACAAAAATCTTACAAAGATTCTTTAGATAACAGGGTGCTTCCAAAAAAAAAAAAAAAAAAAAAAAAAAAAAAAGAAATTTCACGAATAGAAATTTTTTTTTTTTAAATTTCAAGCAAAAAGTTTCTGCTTGATTGAGGCTCAGTTATCACCTGAACAGAATGTACTTCTTTATGTACTTGCTTATTATGAAAATTACAGGGACTGACATATATGGCACCCAGCCCCACCCATCCAAACAACTCTGATGGTATTTCGTAAGTGAGACAAGCCAGTGCTAGCTTTTTTTTTTTTTTTTTCTTTTGTTTACCTTCTTGCTTAATGGAATTGTTATGGCTAAGCACACAGCATGGCCAAAAAAGGAGTTTTCTAAAACCCAGCAAATCAAATGCCTGGATTTTGAATTGGCAAAAAAAAAAAAAAAGTGCATTTTCCCCCTAAGGAAAATGGGATGAGTTATTTAGGTAAATGCATTCATTGGACCAGATAAAAAACCAGTTATGTGAGCTTTAATCATTGCTCATTTTCAGGAAGATCAAACAAAATACCAGCACAGCCAGACTCATATGTATATATATATATTCATATATATATATAATATATTATATTATATATCTATATTATATATATTATAAAGAAAGATCCACACCCACAAGCCGACAGCTGGATGAAATATTAGCTGTCCATGCTGTGGTATGCCAATTTGAGGAAATTACTCGTTTGAAAAAACTGGGAGAAAAAAATAACTTGATCTGCATAAAAAGGGTTCTAAAACAGAATCCTTGTAACTAGTTTACTGTTATGTTAGATCTTTTAATAAGGATGAAATTAAAAATCAAATTCTTAGTTCGAGTCTGACCAGTGTGTCAGTATTCTGTCCATGCCATTTTTTCAATGGACATTGGTACCCTAGTTCCAGACATGTTTGTGATGACACCACCAAAATCAACAGTCTGGAACAGAGCCGAAGCCAAGAAAGCCTTTAGTGAATCAATAAATTAAAGGTAAAGCCAGTATAAAAGTTATAGTTTTCATTTTTATCTCCTTTATGGCCATTTTGAAATATTTCTTCACAGGCTGTGGAATTTTCTAGCTAAACATTCTAGTTTCTTCTTAAAAAAAATATTTATATATTATCTATATATATATATATTTATATATATACACACATACACATACTATACACACAAATATACATACACAAGAATTCCACCCACTTTTTAAAAAAAGTCGCCTACTTTCTGTATTACCCACAGAAGAGCTAGACAGATATGTCAAACTTGTGCCTTTGAAGCAAATACAATAACATTGGGGGGGGGGGGTTGTTTGTTTTTTGTTTTTATACTTCTGTATCTTTAATACTGTATCTTTAATATGTGTGAAAATGTTACATATTAAATACAGCTGGGTGTGTTATCTATACAATTGTTGTGCAAGGTCTATAGGACAGTCTCACGGTGGCAGAGTTGGTCAGATTTTTCCATTACAACGTGTTTTTCATTTTAACACTGACAGTCAAGTTGTCTAAAATATTAAACTAATAGTGACACGGTAAGGAAGTTTTCACCTCTTTGTCTTTGTGAAGGAGGACCTTAGGAGAGATTTTAGTTTCTGTATTATACATTGATACAGTACAATGCCAGGTGAAAAAAGAGCCTTAATATAGCATGCATCACCCACACCCCTGTATGAGACCCCCTCATATAAGGGGTCACTTGCATAAGGCACCATTATTAAGGTCAACAGTGCATTAACAGCTAGAAAACCAGAAATTAGTCCTCAAGGCATAAATAAGAGAAACTTAGCTGCATGAGAAAAACAGTTTCTAAGCTTTAGTGGTTTCATCCACCCAACTGAGAAAATTTTTAGGTTCTTCATCTAATGTAACATTAGACCAGCAATTCCCAACCCTGGCTTTTTTGACACTCCAACCTGTGTCCAATATCTTCAAAGGGCCATCACAAATTTGTCCAAAAAGGTAATTCAAATTCACAATCATTTAAAAAATCAATCTGCACACCTTTCTGGAAGGGCAGTGTTACAAAATTGAAGAGGAGTGTGGAGGTGGTGGTGGGGACTAGGTTGCCAGGTCGGATGGCTAGGAATCACCCTATTAGACAAATTGTATCTTAGCTGCTCATTCACTGGAATTAAAATTGCAGTCCTGATTTTAAAATGGAAAAGCATAGAGTTCCCCAGAACCATGCATTTTTTTTTTTTTTGTATTATAAGGAAAAGTTATAATTGTGTTATATCTGTAAATACACAGCTTATACAATGGATTACAAATGAGCTCTGTAGCAAGTAAAACAAGCTACTTGACACATTGCACGTTCAATAGCTGCACCAAACACCAGAAGCTCCTCTCACACGGGAGAGGGACTACCCCCCCTCCCCACACCCACTCATCACTCAGGGGTCCTGACCGCCCACCCCCGCCCTCCATATTTTTCCTTCTTTTTAAAATTTTTTTCTAAGGTGCAGATACCCCTACCCCCCAAGAAATGATTGGTGGTCATTTCATCTCATGGTATACTCCTTACACACAAAACATTCAAACTCCTTTTTTCCTGTCTCTTGCAGTTCCGCTACCACAAGGAAAAAAAGTCAGCCTCATCATACAGTCAGTAATAGATCCTCAACATACAGTCAACCCACCCATTAACATTCTCAGTGCACATGCTCACGGCAAAGGCTTAGGAGCCACTCAGAAGGTTAGGTACCAGTGACGAGTCCAGGATCACCCAAACATCATGCACCATGGTTGCTATGCCGCTTCTTACATGACTTTTTTAGCCCTCAAAAGACCTTCCAAGTAGAGGTCCTGGAGGCAACTGGGTAGGGTGCAAAATGGCATGCTTTGGCTGGAACACGCATCCCTCCTTCCAAGGCCGGGTCTCAGCCTTGACGCCTTTTAGCCCACAGGATTCACCTCTCTGTTCTCTCAGAGGTGTCTCTTCATGTGAAGGGCCAGGTGATCGGACCTGGAAAAACACCTGCAAGAGGAAATTAAACACAAAAAGTTAGGTAGACATCACTCACTTGGAAAAACAACTGCCTCACTTCTCCACATACAACTAATTCTTCATCTCCACTGGAGGGAAAGGTGAGCATCTTCTCTGACTCATTAGCAGGTAAGTTTTATATGGACAGGAAATGAACCATCAATGAAATGAAGCCTTAATTCAGCAATTACTGAGTCCCTACTATTGTTGCTGTTGTTGTTAAGTGCCTTCGAGTTGGTTTTGACCCATAGCAACCCTGTATAGGGCATTAACCCACAGCGCCAAAACTGTGGATTAATGCACCGACTGCAAAGCCATGTGAACTGCAAGGTTGGCAGTTCATGCTCACCATTTGCTGAGTTCCTTGCTGTTGTTTTTAAGTGCTGCTGAGTCTGTTCCGACCCATAGCAACCCTATACAGGGTTTCCAAGCAGCATCTAGTGAGCTTGAACTGCCAACCTTGCGGTTCAAACAGTTTTGCAGTCTGGTGCAATAACCCACAGCGCCACACCAGGACTCCCTAGGAGAACCTTAATTTGAAGATTGTTGAAGAGCTATCTTCAAAAAGGATCAGTGGAATTATTTTACTTTCATGCACATGTGGTACAAAAACTTCCTAATTTGGGAAGCCAGTCTTTTAGACTTTTTTTTTTTTAAAGTCTTAGATGTGAAAAAAAAAAAATGTTAATCAACTCCAGGGAGAATAATTCTTCCTTTACTACTACATTCTGGTTACTGTGTAACTTGAACCTGTGCCTCTGCAAATGTCAACCTAATTCATGTACCTGTCACAGTGAGAACATTTAAAAGGCTTGGCACCGGTGTGCTTTCTGAAGTGTCTGGTTAACTCATCACTTCTTGCAAAACGCCACTCGCATCCTTCCCATGAGCATCTGTAAGGCTTTTCTCCTATAAAGAAAACACGTGATAAGTTAGCCATGACTTCACTGAAACAGTGACGGAATATGGGTATTACAACAACAGTGTGCTGGCAATAGGCAAATTAATTCATTTACAAGTTCAGGGTCTGAGAGATGTCAAGGATTCATTCATGTCACACTTGAATAAAGGATAGTATCTCCTAATAAGGTGACCAGAACCAGCTCTTTTCTGATCTGTCTCAGTAATCAAGTGTGGACAAAGACCCCAGGTTTGGCAAAAGCCACATTGTTGCAATCAAAGGAAGCATGTAAGAATGACAATTACTCATATTGGTGAAATACTTAGAAGATGATGTGTCAGCTTAGTGGACCAACAACCTTGTCAGGGGCAGGGTTTTATTGCTTTCTCCATGGTAACTGTTCCTCTCAAGTACTTATTTTGTTCCTTACTCACTTCCCTGTGGAATGAGTCTTTGTAGTTTCCTTTGGGACTTTCTACATTTCTCCACAACTGAAGTCATGCGTTTTTGTGAAACCCCACTCCAAGGGTTTTAAATAAATCTCTAAATGGCAATCAAATCACCAAATGAACTTTCCTCCTTGGTCAAATTACAAATAAAAATTCAATAAGAGTGTCACCCAAGAATGCAAAAAAATTTCAAGACAACTGTAGAGTTCCGTATTGGGACAGACACTGGTCTGATTTTCCTTCCACATCCCGGAGTCCTAATCTCAGCTCGGTCATCACTCATTTTTAAGGCCCTGACTTGATCTCATGGAAACCTCCTTTCCTTATTTGTAAGATACGCATCTGAATGAATCAATTGCTAAAATCCTTCCAAAATTTCTTCCAAATCCTTCAAAATTAACTCCAAAATTTCTCTGATTCATAACCAATAATCTGAGACCACTATAGTAGTCGTCAATGGAACCCATTAATGTTGTAGTAACCCATTAAGATTATTTTTTAAATATAATAAGAAAACAAAGGTTGCACACTACACGGTGCTATACACAGAGAAAATCTTCATACATCTGCCCTGATCAATACTGCTTTGTTGTTATGTGCCATGAAGTCAGTACCGACTCATAGCAACCCTATACAGGGTTTCCGAGGTTGTAAATCTTTACGGGAGCAGAAAGCCTCATCTTTCTCCAGTGGAACAGCTGGTAGTTTCGAACTATTGCTTACTACAGAGTATATCAGTCACTCTTCCTGTAAATAGCAGCGAGCTCCAGGCCTAGTACTGACTCCCTGTCCTGACCCTGAACAACTCCAGATAACATTATCTATGGAAAATGGTTGAACGGGTACAATAACATTATCTATGGAAAATGGTTGAATGGGTACAATAAATCCTTAATAAACTGGGGTGAGTGGAGGAATTGAATGTTGATGGCAAAGAAGATTTCGTTTCTTGTTTGTTTAATCGACAAGTCTTAACCATTCATCCGACACAAATGGCCAGTCTTTAAGATTCTACTCTGTACTCCAAAAAGATCCATGTCTCTTTTGTGGCAAGAATGAGGAAGTGAGGTTGTGAATACTGCTAAGGCTTTGCTATGACGGCATCATTCAAAGCTCTGGGCTCTCACCCAGGGTTTGTATAATTCAATGGCAATACCACCAGTAGGGTATTCAGCCACAAGGGTCCCAACTCCTTTGGTATGCGTGAGGTTACTGACCTGTATGAGTGCGCTGATGTGCTTTCAAATGGGAGCTTTTGGTGTAAACTTTTCTGCAGCCATTGAAATGGCACCGATGGACTCTCCTTCTGCCGTCTGGAGAGGCATCTCCGCTGCCTTTGTCACCAGGCTTTCCCACAGTCCCACTACGGATTTTCCCCGGTGAATGCAAGTCCCCAGGTATACAATTCCAGAGTTGGGATGGTTCTCTGCTCAGTTCTGGAGAAGAAGGAGGAGTGGACGTGACCGAGGAGCTCAGATTTCCTGAATTGACTAAAACTTCACCTATTGGATCAGAGGTAAATTTAGTAGTAGGTGAAAGTTCCTCAGAGCTGTCAGATGATTCACTGCTCACATCCGAATTTAAGCTGTTGGTCTCTAAATTGTAACTAAAACTTGGACTGATTAGAGAGTCCTCTTGAGGACTAGAAGAAATCTTCAGTTCAGATTCTTCTTTTTTCTCCCGTGCCAGAATGATTTTGGTCCACAGATCTTCCTGGCTGTCAAATTTGATTTCCGATGCTGATACATAACAGGGTTCACTCTGGAGGTAACGTTCCAATTCTAGGCAGGTCTGTGCAAAAGGAACCAAAAAATAAGAAAAGGGATGTAATTATTACCATGGCTAAAAATGGAACCAAAAGCACGTTACCAAACGCATGCCAAGATGAACGAACAAATAAGTGTTGAAGGATCACTGCAGGCTGAAAAATCTTTTAAAATTAAGAATCTGTGTCTTTCTTGAAGTTAGAAGAAATTTGTTTCTAGGAATTACAGGTTAGGGATTCAGAATGAAAAACAAAAACAAAAGACCAACACTGGATGAATTCTCTCTTGGCTTTTTCAAATGTTGGACAAGTAACCAAAAAGAGTGATTTCTGAGCCAATTTTTCTTACAGTCATCAGTGCTGATATTTCTAATGTGTTTCCTGTAAACCACATAAAGAAAGCCAGCCACACACACACACAACAGGTTTAACCAGATTATTTGACAGTCTCAAGAACCATCTTCATTAAAGAAATTCAAAACCATTCACCCTTCACAAGCTGACACATATTCATACACCAGGAAAGAAAGACAGTACTGCAAGCAACGTGGTCTAAGAGACTCCCTTGAAAACAGAGCTGCCAACACAATGCCACACTGGAGCACTATAGCAGCTAGCTGACAATCTGTATTCAGTGACATCAATGGAGTTGCAGATAAACCACCCATTTCCTGTGTATCAGAGACCTAAGAGGCTTTCAAAGAATGCCATTTCCAAGTGCAGGGCCAAGCCAGCCACCGAACTTTAATGACTTCTACAGTGGTCAGAGAAAAACAAGGAACTTCAACAACAAGAGTGGCGAAATCATTCCAGAGGAGCCATATGCTATTGTAAAGGATGCAAGACGGGAAATGGCTCCGCTGGGAGTCCCACAATGAACAAGAACTTTATCTACTGGCCAAGAGTACAACTGTATGAGTCATCACTCTATTTCTTTCACGCAATGCCAGAGGAGACTTCCTTTTGAAATTCTGACCAATGGCCAAAAAAGTACTTGGTTCAAACAGACATGCAGTATGTCTTGTACAGAGTGGGGCCCCTCCCCAAACCCCCACAACCAACCTTTCAAGGAGCTACAATTGCCGAAATCAGCACCCCCTTCCCCCACCATTTCAAACTTTCTAGCCACTGGAAAAGAAAAAATGGTAGGAAACATTTTAGGATTCCATGATTTCTTCCTTCACTGGTACCAGGTTTAGCTGCCTGTTGTCCATATAAGGTTGTATATATGACAGGCAATTGCACACATGTAAATTTCTACACCAACCTCTGCTCAGTTTAAGCAAATCATTTTCAGGATAGATAACCTTTCTGGCTTTAAGCAAAGCTTATCCAAAGACCTCACTCTTAGCAAGCAACATGCAGTCTCTTATAATATTGTACATATTCTTCCCCTTTCTCCACAGACTCATCATATATCAAGCATGAGCAAGTGGGGGTGAGGGGGGGTGGTGGGGATGATTTTCCCTTTACACCTCAATTAGACATCTGAGTTGCAATGCATACTAACATATTCTGAAGAGAGTTGGCAATATATTTTATTGATGTTCCAAAGAAAAAAGATAGCCCATTTATTGAGATCTTGTTAAACTTTAATAATCGGGCTAATTTAAAATCTCCATTAGGTGGTGAGCACTAGGGACCAGAGCAAAGCTCTTGGTGAGTTTAAATGCCTCTGAAGGCGACCAGGAGCCAAGTTTGGCTTTTTGCCCAAATCCCAAATGCCTAAAGGAAACTACTTAGATCAATTTCAATCACGTACCAAGAGCAGTTTCTTTGAGGAGGGAAAAGGGGGAGGGGAAGAGTAAGGCAAGAGAAGATTGTGAACAATTAAGCAGGCATGTGAAGGTTGCAACACTTTGCATTTCATCTGCCTTAAAAGCTTTCTAGGTTTTGGAGCCACCAAAATATGCTAGTATTGATCTGGTAATTCACTTGGTGACAAAAAACAAAACACTACAGAAGACAGCAAACCCTCCTAATATCTTTTTAAAGACAATGGGAAAACTGTCAGGGTGTCTCTTCTCACCGGCAAACCTATAGATTAAAAGGGGTTAAAGAAAGAAGTTTCTTCAATTTTCAACGAAAAAAAAAAAATCCAGTTCCACTAAAATGCCGGAAACCGAGGTTCTTGACAAACTAAGACTCGAAACAATTAGGACAGGCTCATTGTCATATGACTGACAAGTCACTGGTTGTGCAAACATTTTTTTTTCCCCTCCTCCCCCGGTCAACAAGAGAAGCAGGTAAGAAAAACAAGGCAGATTTTTAAAGTAAATCTTAGGGGGTCCAAAGAGAGAAAGAAATTGGAAATGGCATAGGAAATAAGAGATGATATCTGTCTTCACTGGCAATTTTTAAAAAAATTTACAAAGTATATGTACAAATACCAAAAACGCAAAACAAAAACAAAATCCCTTTAAAAAAAAAAAATCCCTTGGCAGTAAATACAAGTTCATATGACAAGATCCAGCTGTGGAGTTTGGACCTGGTACAGCACAAACTTCTGCCAAAAGCTCGGTACGGGATCGAGCGAAAGCAAAGCTGCGGAGTTTGGCGTCCCACTCCGGGGGCTGCCGCTAAGATCCCAAACGGTAAAAAACACTCCCGGAACAACGAATCGCCGCTCCGCTTTACTTAAATGACAGCTTCAGGTTGTAAACAGCCATTTCAAGTGCCTTCGGAACCAGAGGCATTACAACTAAATTTAAGAATCAATTACATTCCTTTAAAAAAAAAATTACCCAAACAATAAAAAATAATACACCTCCAATCACACACAAGCTTAATTTTTTTTTTTTTCTCCATCCATTCCTTACTCAGTGTACCGGGGACACTGGGCATTCTTTTTAACTCAGCGCCTTGTATATTAAAATTCCTATTTACCTGTTGCCAATATTCTTCCAGGGATGGTAAAGCTGAGAAGTAACCCGTTTCATGCACAATCTGGAGTTCCTGGAAGATGCTGCACATTGGGAGTACATCCATGTCGGGTTGGAAAATAAAGTCAATTCTGTTGTAAAAATAGGGAGGTGTATGGTCTGTAGTCAGAGAGATGTAAAACTCTCTCCCGAAATCACAAGAGTCAATTCCTGCAGAGGAGGTGAAAGTTTCATGCAAACTCAATTGCACAGCAATTAGACGCCTCAAATTCGGATTCTCCTGGATCACAGAGACTTGCTCAGGAACCTACACAATATTTGCAAACACTGAACTGACTGCAAACGTAACCCCTGCAAAACTTCCCTATTCAAAGCTCTTCTGCCAGCCTCTCCCCCCTCCCTCCTCCTCCTCCTTCTGCTTTGGCTCCCCCCATTTCTCCCCTCCCCCCACGTGACTAGCTCTGCGCTGGCTCTACCAGCAGCCCAATCGCGAACTACCCATCCTGGAAGTTGAGCGCCTATGATGTCAGCTTCGACCAATCTCCGGTTGCAATACACAGTGCCCCGCCTGGCGTGACCGAGCCTCTCCATCACAACCTTTACTATTGGCTCAATTCGAAATTTCCCCGGATCTGATTGGTAGGCGGTCTCGCAGGCTATTTTTAGCAACGTATATAAGGCGCGGGCTCCCGAGCTGCTGGAGGAGTCGGTACTGTGTGGTATCGCCGCCGAGTAGGGTTTCTTTCACTGTTGGTCGCGGCCGCTGTGAGCGTGGCTGAGCCACTGCCGATGGAGAGAAACCGGCGGCCGCCCCGAGTTGCTGGAGACCCCCACCTCCCCACGGGGCTCCGTCACTTTCAATTCCTCCAACTCTTTCCCTGGCCCCCGTCACACAGCTACCGCGTTAGTCCTAGTTCCCGACAAAGCACCTCCCCGGGCCGAGGCGCCCCTTCGGCTCTCCTTCGGCTCCCCTTTCGGCGCGCCACCGAGCGCTCCGTGGGCGAAGGACTCCGGGCCTGATAGGGCTCGGCCGCTGTACGCTTCACCCGTGGCCTCCGCGTCCGTTCCGCGAGGAGCTCGTGGACTCGCGGGCTCCCCTAGGGCCGCCGCGCGGTAACAGCACGGCCGCGTCGGGTGATCAGAGCCGAGTCAGTCCGCAGCTCCGGCGGGCCTACTCTCGCCGAGGATGGAGCGGACAGGCAAAGAGAGCTCTAGGCGTCCGGAGCTCGGTGGAAGGGGGTCTCACGATTTTAATAGATTTAGTACAAGGTGGGGCGAGAAGGTTAGGTCTGCGGGACGGGCTTTACAAAATGCGCTAAATCATCGGACTAGCTTGTACTTGAATCTTTGGAATCCGATGTGAGTTGCGAACGCGGAAGGGATATAAAACACACCTTTTGAAAGTCCCTCTAAAATGGGCAAGTGTCATTTGGGGATTACAAGTGCTGAGCGGCGCGTACACAGCTCACACCTGGGTCATACAGGAACCTCTGTGTTTTGGAGCTCAGTTTATTTGAAAAACCTGGAAGGGGGCGCGGTGAGCAGGGTTGGGCAACTTGTTGCAAAGGAGGGAAAACAACTGCTAAAACTAATTTTTGCTCTGCCAATCCGCCTGGTGGATTTTAAAATAAACTCTTGGTCTTTACACCCGAATTCCAAGAATATCAATTGTGCTTTTGTGAAGAAAGGGTCTAGTGCTGAGATTCTGGACCCTGGACTCAAAAAGCCTTGGCGTCACTGGAAGCTCAGGGAGAGGGTTCAGCAATTGTGATTTAAGATGCTCTGCAGGTGATTCTGATGTAGGTTACACTCTGAGAATCACTGACCTATAATTTAAAACGTACTTTCACTTGGTATCTTCCTATACACAAGCAGCCCCAGGTTACCAATGAGAGCCTTCATAAGTGTACCTTTAACTCTAAGGAAGTCTTAGCGTTGAATTTGTAGCGAAGTCAAAAACAGGTGTATAAGGTTCTTATTTAGCCTATTCCTTTCCAATGCTTTGAAAGTTATACATGCAGCAAATGAAGGTGATTGTACAGAATTTATTTCCATTAGGTAAGTGTTGATTCAATCAATCATTTCAAAGCGAGAGAACACTGACATATCAAAGTTGTCCTTGGTCTGATGTACCTAATCTCCCCTCCCCCATTGCTGTTGTTGTTGTAAAGTGTCATTGAGTCAGTTCTGACCAATAGAGACCCTGTATAGGCTTTCCAAAGAGCAGCTGGTGAGCTTGAACCGCCAACCTTGCAGTTCAAAAGGCTTTGCAGTCTGACGCATTAACCCACAGTGCCACAAATTCTCATTGTATTAAAATGTAGAATATACTTATAATTGAGAAAACTCAATTTATCTTATAGCACAGCAACCTCAAAGCACGTCCCCCACCCCCACCCCAATGAACAAGGCAGTTTTGCCCATGAACCATTTAACTGTAAGTAGGGTTGGTGCATCAGCTCTGAGATAGTGCTGAAAATTACGGAACCCAACGACGCAAGTGATGGTACTGAGGGTGGGGGGAGTAATTGATGTTAAAGATGGTGGAGTGGTACAGCAGTTTGGAAAAGTTGAGTAATTGATGTTAAAGATGGTGGAGTGGTACAGCAGTTTGGAAAAGTTGAACATTTGGGACATTTTTAACTTCCACCTCCTATGAACCACATGATCTTTACTAAAGAAATTATTCATTTACTATTTTACCTCAAAGACAAGGAGGCGTGACTAGCCTTTCATAAATAAGATATACATTGTGAAAATGCCATGGGACAGAGTTGCTCATAGAGACTTGATTTAAAACGAAAGACCTGGAACTCTAGTTACTCTTACGACATGTGAGACCTTGGTCATGTTATTTCAATGTTGTTGTTGTTAAGTGCTGTCAAGTCAGTTCTGACTCATAGCAATCCTGGATAGGGTTTCCGAGGAGTGGGCTGGTGAGCTTGAACTGCCAAGCTTCTGGTTAAACCGACTTTGCAGTCCAGTGCATTAACACACACACATCTGACTACTGACTCAGTGGCACTTAACAACAACTACATTATAGTTAGTTTGTTACATTTAAAAGATGATCTATTAAAATCCCTGTTCTGTAACAAATAGCAGTCATTCAGTAATGTGCAAACAATACTCACTTATTGAACATTTACTGAGCTGGAGTGCCTGCTAAACGCAAGGATGGCAGTTCAAAACTGCAAGCCACTCTTCAGAAACCCTACACAGGGTCACTGTGAGTCAGAACCAGCTAGATGGCGCTTAAAAACAACTAAGTTGGGTTAGAATAATAATTAAAAAGCTGCAATTTTCAATCAAGATACATTTATGATTACTGGTGATTAGAATGCAAAAGTTGAAAACAAAGAGGAAAGATGACTTGGGAAATACGAGATAGAAATGACACTGGAGACAACATGATATAATTTTACAAGGCCAACAGCTTGTTCATTGCAAATACACATTTTTCAACAACATAAATTGCAACTATACACATGGACCTCACCAGACGGGATACACAGGAATGAAATTGTTACATTATAGTGGGAAAAAATGATGGAGAATCTCATATCTTTAGCAAAACAAGGCCAGGGACTGATTGTGCAGACCATCAATTGCTCATAAGCCAATTCAGGTTGAAGCTGAAGAAAATTAAAACAACTTAAAACAATCTTGCAATCCAGCACATTAACCCACAGTACTACACCAGGACTCCAAAACAGTCTGCAAGATCGAAAATATCAACTTGAGTATATCCCACCTAAATTTAGAAACCATCTCAATAACAGATTTAACACTTATGACACAAATGACTGAAGAGCAGAGGAGTTGTGGGATGACATCAAGAATACAATACATGAAGAAAGCAAAAGGTATTTTAAACGAAAAGAAAGGGAAGGAAGGAAAGCCGGAAGGAAGGAGAAAGAAAGACATGGATGTCAGAAGAGACTCTGAAACTTGCTCTTGAATGTTGTTGTTGTCAGGTGCCATCGAGTCGGAACTGACTCATAGCGACCCCATGCACAGCAGAACGAAACAATGTCCGATCCTGGGCCAACCTCACTACCGCTGCCACACTTGAGTCCATTAATGATGTCACCTGGCTGATCCATCTCGTTGGGGGTCTTCCTCTTTTTCTCTGACCCTCCACCCTACCCAGCATGACATCCTTCTCCAACGATTGATTCCTCAGGACAATATGTCCAAAGTAGGAGAGACAAAGCTTAGCCATCTTGGCCTCCAAGGAGCACTCTGGCTGCACTTCTTCCAAAACAGATCTATTGGTTGTTTTGGCAGCCCATGGCACTTTCAGTATTCTCCTCCAACACCACAACTCAAAGGCATCAATTCTTCTACCATCTTCCTTAGTCACTGTTCAGCTTTTGCATCTATATGAGGCTATTGAAAACACAATGGCCTGGGTCAGGTGCACCTTAGTCCTCAAGCTGACATCTCTGTTCTTCAGCTCTTGAATGTAGAGTAGCTAAAACAAATGGAAGAAATGATGAAGCCAAAAGCTGAGCAGAAAATTTCAAAGGGCAGCACTAGAATACAAAGAAATGTAACAAAACGTGCAGAGACCTGGGGCTATAAAACCAAAATGGAAGAACCACTCTCAGCATTTCTCAGCTGAAGACAATGAAGAAAGAATTCAAGGCTGGAGCTGAAATAGTCAAGTATTATATGGGCAGAATAAGGAGATCTGGTAATGGAGTAGATGACGAGTTGACCTGCGAACCAGAAGGTCAGTAGTACAAATCTATCAGTCACTCCATGGAAGGAAAATGAGACTTTCTACTACCGTAGCGTTGTTGTTGTTGTTGTTATGTGCCGAGAAGTCAGTTCCGACTCATAGTGACTCTGTACAGGGTTTCCGAGACTGTAAATCTTTAAGGGAGCAGAAAGCCTCATCTTTCTCCCGCGAAACAGCTGGTAGTTTCAAACTGCTGACCTTGCGGTTCACAGTCGGATTCATAACCACTATGCTACCAGAGCTCCTTTCCCGTAGCGTAGTGGTTACGAATCGAGCTGCGAACCGCAACGTCAGCAGTTTGAAACTGCCAGCTGTTCCCCTGGAGAAAGATGAGGCTTTCTGCTCCCGTAAAGATTTACAGCCTCGGAAATCCTGTACAGGGTCTCTATGAGTCGGAA